TTGGTTGAAAATAAAATATAATAAAATAACAAATGGCTGTAGAAAATCTCCCAATCATCAACCCCGTAAATTTCAAAGCATGTCCCCTCATATTCTTAAAAATGATCAATTCTAGATCAATGATTGTTTCTCATAGCCATGGTTTCCATCTATTCAGAACCAAACCAGGATATTGTGTAAAGGGGTTTCTATATATCATTCCCGCCAAATAGTATAGAAGAAACATGAAAATGTGAAAAGTACATGGACTGCAAAGATGCCAAGTGATGACAGTAACTAAGACTGATGCCAAGGGATGGCAATAACTCACAAGAGGCCAGGGGAGCTCAAAGGTTTTCTTTAAAGTTTTGTCAAAAAGCTTTCCTTAGTGTTGACTTTAAAAGGGTACATACAGTAGACAAATTGTTTACAACAGACAGAAAAGTACATAACAACTGAAGGTAATATTCCAAAAGACACACCCTTTTAAAAGTTGAAAGAAAACATTATTACCTTCCTTATGTTTTGATGTAAATGTTACTATATTGTTCAATGTATAACAAAATGATTCTAACATTCTTTTATAATTCACACTGATGTCTGAACATTTACTCATATCCCTTATCATACTTTTTTTCAACATGATGATCCAACTAACTGAAATGAATGGTTTAATTACATATTGTCTTTCCCGGCAATTCAATTTCATCTTTTACTTTCAATACAAACATTACAAATCCTTATACACCTGTCTATATCAATTGTAAACATATGCACCTAAGAAACCAATAGTTACGTAAGTCTTAGCAAACCATTTTTTACCTGCTGGTTACAAAACAAAATTTTAACATTCAATCTCTTTTAATCTCATAAACTTCGAATTGACTCTTTCTATAAGAAATAAAGAGGGGTGGTTGAATGAAATTATTCCTATTAAATGTCACAGCAACTGTATTACAGGGAGGAACACCGGAAAGAAAAGTGAAATCACAATTGAGGCTATATGTATTTCAAATACAGCCCAGCATATCTTCAAGACATTTTAAAAAGAGTAACATGTCTGATTGCAACATTAATTTCATAACAAATCCAACTGCAGAAATTTTAGGCTTTATGAGAGTTTCCACATCACTTAATAGAAAGAAACAAGTTTATCTAAAAATCTCAGCTGTACTGATATAATAGAAATATCTGAATATCCTAATTTAACACTAATATATGGACAAGGCTAAATATATATATATATATATGCCCTTGCCATTTATATCCAGTAAAAAAACAAATAGAAAAATTGTGGACTTTAACGGAATAAAAAATCCTCTCTCTGATACTGTAAAGGTTTAATTTACATTTTAGTTTAAATTTTGCAATTTCTTTCACAAAACCAGTTCACAAGGTTATACGTTTGAATTCTTCTTTTCCTTGATTCTAATATTCCTTAGAGATCAAAATACGGTCAAGAATTTTTGTGATTTTATTTGCAAAAAAATATGCAAAAATAAACTCCTGGTAAATATTTTAACTTTGGCTTTAATTCAAGTATAATACCAAATTACAAACTGTGGTATTTTCAGACCATTATAAAACACTTTTTTGATATATTGAATATACACTGTCAAAAAATAAATAATAATATTCAGATCTATTTTTTTCCCAATTATATTGCAGAAATGTTTACAAGCTATATAGGAAATTTAGATGTAAAATTTAGAAGCACTATCTTAAATGTTCACAAAAGCACACACACTTTTCATTGTACATGAAACTAATAACTTGAACTATTCTCAAGATACAAAATGTTTGATGTCCTATGTCATTGATGTGGAAATAACTTTGTCATTACGAAATAGGAGACATATGGCTGATTGATTGATTGATTGGTCTATTGGTTGATTGATTGATTGAATTATGGTTAAAAATAGAAGGAAATTCAATAATGATTCTAAATACTCTAAATAAATAAAATCTGTACAGGTTTTGGACCCATCGTCTCCTTTTATTTATTTTCAAATAGTTTTTCTTTCTTATTTCAAGGATAAATTTGAACATGACTTTGGTATTCTAAGACATCAGTAGAATAATCATTTCTTGTTTTTGGAACTTTTTTTGTTATGTTGAATCTATAAATAAAAGACTGTCATTTGAACATTCAGTGCATAAACTACAAAAAGTCTGAAATGGTTCTTGTTCTTTTTTTAACCTGAAATTGTCAGGATTTTTTAAAATTTTTATGACCTTTCAGGACGTAACCAAAAACTCATGTCCTATAAACCAATGAAATTAATTTTACTAATGTATATTTAAGGACTTCGTCTAACGTAAAATTTGCTCTAATAAGGAATATCGTTCGTTTTTATGATTTTTTGTTAGTCAAATAAATAAAAGATATATATAAAATGCGTTATAAAATACATACTGAAAAATAAATATATAAAAATTATGCTTTACATATATAATACCCATTAAAGTTTGATCTTATTTCTTCCAGTTAAAAGTCAATGATGTATAAACAACATCATGTATGCCCTTATTGTGCAGTAACAAAGTAAAAAGACGAATATATTGATTGTCTTACTCTTTTATGTAGTTCTATTGCATATTCAAAATCTGATTCAGTAAAATTCCATTGTCATAAATAAGGCACTGGCTATCATAGCTATTCTACTTAATGTATTTATTGATTAATACACAAATTTTTAATATATAACGTTGCTGCACATGTACGTCACAAAAAAAACATCATCATGACTTTAGGATTTTACTTGAACACTTTGTGGTCTTCTCACAAACTGGCCATGACGACGAAATTAGTCGATGTTGCGGTTCTGTTACCATTATTTGTTCATGTACAACTAAATCCTCATTAAGTGAATCTTAAAATAGAAAATGAAAACAATATAATTTATTGCACACATTTTGATCAAATCTGAGTGGTCAGATTATTTTGTATTTTTACAAATTCAAAACTAAGATTCTAACTGTCTCGAAAAATACAAATTTGACTTTCATGCTTTTGAATCATAAAATCTGGCCTCATATCTTTTTGCATCTTTGACATTCAAACTATTTTTTTGTAATACCTATATAGATCAATCCAGAAAATGGATCAAACTATAGAATCCGGTTCATAAATTAAATTAAAAGACAAGATACTCATTTCACAGAAAAACGAGAAAAAATACATGTCATGAACATTTCAGTATACATGTAGCTAACAATCAGTTTCAGTCGTAAGATATTTTGTGAAAAGAGCCCCTGGTTGTACGACAAACATTGGAAACATTCCTTTGCACAATTGAAGAACACTTATTTTAGGTCAAAATATTCAACTATCATTTTGTCTTTTATCAGTTGTTGTTGGGTTTATTTTATTCTTTGGTAGTTGTGTTGCATCTTTCAGATTTGGAGGTTTAACCATTGATTGGCTAATTCGACATTTTCCCTAAAAAGCACTATCCAACATTATGTTTTTTCGATCATTGGATAACCAATATAATACGGAATTATTTTATGTTTGCTTTACCATTTGCCTTTAGACATGAAATAGGTATGTGTCCTTTGTTGACACCCGTAAGGTGACATATAAATAATCACTCTCGCGGTTTGGTTCTTTGGTTGATAGTTCTATCATTTGCATTCAACACATCTCCCTATTATTTTGACACACTTTAGTGTACATTATAATCATCTGTATCAAAATTGCATTTTAATTTCATGTAAAAATATATTAGGGAATGTCACTAAATTATACTATACTAACTACCCATCATGGTAAAATGTGGGAAAGCGTCTTAGTTTGGACACCAAGAATCGGTAAAGGCGCTATAAATGTTGGAGTTAAATTCGTTTTATTGGTTTTCGTTTTCAATTAATTATTTAATAAAATCTCAGTAAAATGCAATGACTAAGAAAATGTCAATTACCTTCTATCTTGTTCAACATTCTTCTTTGGTGGCGTTTTCTTCTACAGATCTTCACGACAAGCAATACCAAGAAGCCTAAAACAGTCCCAATTGCTATGATAACAGCAATCATTGTAACCTTTGATGGTCTACTATTTTCAGCAGACTTGTCTGGAAATGAAATAGAACAAGCTTTTTGAGAGTATTGCATATGGCAAGACATAGTCCCCTACCGGTAAAAATTCATTGTACTGGAACAAAATGCTTACTTGATCTGTATATTGTCATGGCGTAAACTATATAATAAATATCAAGACAATATCTTCAAGCATGACGAAAAAAGTGTGGAAAACTGATTATTTAAGTGAATTTTCTAAGTCTAAGGACCATTACTCTGCACAAAATCATCCGACCGGAACAAAATTCGACCTTGATCTGTAACTTGTCATGATAAAACTATATACCAATTATCAAATCAATATCTTCAAGCATGACGAAAAAAGTGAGGAAAACTGATTATTTGAGTGAATTTTTTAACTCCAAGGACCATAACTCTGCACAAAATCATCAGACCGGAACAAGATTCGCATTTGGTCTGTAAACTTGTCATGATAAAACAATACACCAAATATCAAATCAATATCTTTAAGCACAAAGAAAAAAGTGTGGAAAACTGATTTGCCGGACTGACGGATGGACAGACAGACAGACAGACAGACGGAGTGCAAACCTAAAGTCCCCTTCGACTTCGTCGTAGATTGTTGCATTTCTATTGTTATAGAAAAGACTGTAAACATAATAATGCATTTTTTATTATTATTTGTCCATTGTATAATCATAGACACATTTTTACCATCCTTACTTTTTAACAAATAAAAACACCCGTTATAAATAACTGAAAACTTTGCATTATTTTGCTATGTTTGCCATTTGAATGTTGCATTACTATCTAGACCGTTTTTTTAAACTAAAAACATAAAATGTTATATGCATGTATTTAGACCAAATCCAAGTTTCCATAAAATGATGTTTCATCAAATGTGTATCTCTTTTCAATCGTAAGAACGTTTGACTGAGATGTCCATTTTAGTATCAATGGAGTAAATAATAATTATTTACCATTATTGGTAAGTACAAGTACATGTACAAAAGTAAGATTCACTTCACACGTATCAAATCCAAAGTACAATTTGTACGTCTTATTAACATCTGTATCTGTCAGATTGTGTATGGTGAGAGTGAACACATCTGATCCTATCAGCTCGGTGAATTTATCTTCAAAGTCGCTGTCAACATGTAACCCGTCATACATCAAATCATATTCATGGTGACGTTCAGCGTTTAACTCACTCCTAGTCCAACGACGTCCTATAGCATGTGTTACTTCCGATACTGTTGCTGTTATGTTCACATCTTCTCCAAACAACAGAGTCGGCTTAATTTCTATGCTGCAGCATAACACACCTTCAATGGAAAGAAACATAGCCTTATTCTGCAATTTTTTTTTTACTATAGTACATTTCAATTTTTTATTCCATGGGCTGTCAAACTTTCATATTCTAATCATGACGAGTAAATTTGCAATAAATGTGCAGTAACAATAGGGCAATGGTGAAAATATAAGCAATTCTAATATGACGTGCTTCTTTCGCTTTGTAAACAACACCGTGATAAAGTTCTCGATATATCTATACTTAGCGCAGACTCAGAGATGTACATAATAATAACAATATACCTCCCACGTAAATCCACATGTATCGTAACCTATGTGCAAACGCAATGCCGATTTCGCAGTGTTAATAATTGCAATTGAAAAAAAATAATACGAAACCTTTATACTTATTCTGATGCATATCAAAAAGAAGAAATTTATTAGAGTTCGGGAAAAATGTACAAAATCAAAATTCAATTAAATTCCGCGAAATAATGCTTTTGGCGCGTTAAAGTCATTTCAAAACATGACGTCATACGAATGAACACGCTAAAGCTGAATGTTTTTCCGTTACGTGAACCCTCCAAATTTGGATAATATTGCATTAAAATGGAGTTTTGAGGTAGGTGTTGTTTTATTTTCTATGCTATTGCATTATTCGCACATTTACTGATTTCAGAACGTCAACATGGCGGCTCCTTAGTTTCGAAATGTAACTTTGGATTAAACGGTAGCTTACGAGAAAAAAATGTAAATTGAAAATGGCAAATGTTGGGGTTGAGATTTAAAAGAATTAAACACATTTTTCTAGCGGTTATTTAAGAAATAATTCATGCAAGCTATAGTTGTAATGGAAATTTTTAGCTTTATCTAACAGGGGGTAAAATAGAACAGCCATACACACGGCATACCCATCCTCGCTTAAAGTTTTTGAAATAAACTTATTTGTCCGAAATAATTCATGGAAGCCATAGATTTATTTCTTTAATAAAACATATCCCAATAAACTGCGCAGATTTAAATTTACCAGATTAACACATTTTTCACTTGATCTAATGTTTCCCGGTGAAAACTATTGACTCTAGATTAAAGAGATAACTGTATTGTATTCTAATGCAATTATTTTGTATCAATGGTTCTGATTGGATGACAGTAAGCGTAAAATTCTCTATCTCCTTGTCTGTAACTAAGGAAGCCGACATTTTGAATTCCGGAATCTATTGACATGTAATTTCTCCAATAATAAGCAAAAAAACTCACGTTTAGCACATAGAAATCTTCTTTTTAGCAATTTTATTACATTCTGAGGCGGTCAAGAAGCCGGAAAACGCCCGGTGTTTACGTTTGACGCCGGAAGCATACCTATGACGTCACCTAGTTTAGGGGCCAAAGAAGATAACATCATTTCGCGGAATTTTCTATAATGAACATTTTACACCGGCTCAAATAATGACTTAAATTGAATTATGTATTTATTTTGCATTAGAATAGAGATAACTGTATTGTATTTAAGGCTTTGCGGACGTCCATCGGTAGTTTTACTGTCGCAAATATTTTCCAGTTAGAAATATTTGTTAACAATGTTAACTCTAAATACAGTGTTCCCGGTCAAGACATTTTTTATCTCTCTAGTTTCAATGTTTCACAGTTAAGCCTTTTTCATTAAACTTTTCTCGAGTAAGACTTTTTTCTCTATATATTCAATTAGTCCAGCCCTGGCCTCAGTGACATATTTTCAATTTTTTTTTTCAGTGTTGTCACGGAGTCCAGCTCGCCCTCCATTACCTTCAATGGTGCAAGCTCCCGGGTAGATTACCCGGGGACGATTGGGACATGGCCATTGGTAGTTTTACTGTCGGAAAATTGAGTTTACCTGGCGACGCGTAGCGGAGACAGGTAGACGGATATTTGCGACAGTAAAACTACCAATGGCCATGAAAGTTTAATGAAAAAGGCTGTGAAACATTGAAACTAGAGAGATAAAAAATGTCTTGACCGGGAACACTGTATTTAGAGCACAAGGTGATTATACATAGCTGGATCCCAGTCTATGGAAATCTTGTTTACATCAGTAACGTTATATTACGGAACATGACGTTTCTACGCTATAACGTAGACGAAACGAATTTAATATATCGATAAAGATTGTCAACGTTTAAACTCGTTAAATCAACGATTTTGCACCTCATACTTTTTGTACGCGGACTTTACAGGCACTGAATGCTGCTGGTAAATTATGACACTTAAAATTATGTGTACCTTCTGTTGTTTAGTTGGGGTTTACTGATTTTTTTTTCCTTCCAAGGTACAACAAGTAGTTATAATGTTATACAGTAACAGAGGATTAACTTTCCACGTACATTGTTTTCTATCAATTTTCCATGACACTATACAATTATGGTTAACATTAAGCCAACTGAATCACACGATAATTATTTTTTATTTTTTATATAAAGCATGAAAATTCCGACCCCGATTTAAATGAATAGATGTTCTTTCTGTGAATACCAAGCAATAGTTAAAAAAAATTAATTGAAATTCTCTACCGAGAATAATTTTCAATAGTCACTTTTCTAATGGTATTATACACTTATTTGATTTGCCCAAGGGATATACGAATAGTTATTCATCCCATAAAAATTATTTTTACAATGATCAATGTTTCCAGATATCCATGTCACAGATGCAACATCACCGTGAATTTACGATATGATTCACTGAGGTGACTCCAGGAATTGCAAAATTGGCAAAAGTAGCTCGTCGTACATATGACGTGCTCTTAACCATATCAACAACATCTGATGATGTTATATTTTTATGCAAAGATCTTGCATATGCATAACAGACAGCCACGCCGTCTTTTCCATCACGTGCACAACGACCTACTTCTTGCCAATAACTCAAAATAGATTTTGGTGCACCCCAGTGAACCACATTACGAATGTCAGGTATATCGATACCCATACCGAAAGCAACGGTTGCTATTACACATCTGATTTTGCTATCAGTCTTTTTAAACTCCTCTAGAATATATTTCTTTCTATCCTCTGGAATTGCAGAGTGAAACATTTCCACCAAACGATAGTCACTACAAAACGATAGTCACCACAACCCCAACCCCACCCCCACCCACCCACCCAAGTTCATCATTGAACAGCAAAAAGATCTCTGCAACTGTTGGGATAGATCTAAAACATATGTCAGTTTATTTGGAAACGTAAACCATTTAAATATTTGATTGTAGTTGAAATCACCAGCTTTTAGTTGTCCTGATGATAATATTTACGCGATTTTTATTTTAACACAAAGTTTACATATTTAATAGGGAATGTTGAAGAAATTAACCAAGCGAGTTAACTGTATATGCGAATATAAACCATGACTCGCTTTTATTTATTATGGATCCCCTTTAAAAACAGACATATATCATTGACTAAACGGTACTAGAGACATATAAAACGTTCGAATATGGTTAAGATATAAGCTTCTTGTAAAATCCTCACTTTTAATCCAACCTCATTACGGCTTTAAGAAACACAAAAAAGGAATTTAAGACATTTACCTGCAGAAAATTAGTGTTTGTGGTGACACAGACATATCTCTCTCCAATGAACCTAATAACCACTTTAACTCTATTTCAAAATCACATGAAGATTTCTCCACTTGCAGGTGAATATTTGGTCTGAAATAATTCATTACAATTAAGTCGCCCTTTTTATGAACATTACAGATAATCCTTTCATAATGTTTCGCTCTAATTTTATGTTTTAAAATTTATTTCATGTTAATAAAAATTTGTTATTTGTGTTTCTGAACGATTTTCTTCTTCAATATGAAAAACTAAAAATAGGAATAACAGATTTCATTTAAAAATCGACACTACTTTTGGAAATTATTCAAAATCAAGGAATATATATCTCGTGCAAACCTCTGATTCCTGGTTTGGCTATACTTTAGGTCATTTTTTATTTGATTTGCTCTTCAACGTTTGTATAAGTGTTATGGTTTTCAAAATTTTTACCTCGAACTTCACTGAAGAGACATAAATTGTCGAAATGCGCATCTGCTGTAATAAAATTGGTACCGTTATGTTATTGTTACGAAACTAGTATTATCTATCTCTTGATTTAATCGTATAAATAAACTGAATCCGTATTGAATAATACTCTTTCTTTTAAAATCGGCCATTTAATAGTCTCATAAACAGCTGACTACTTCTATAGTCGAATTCTAAACGTATTCTTAATTTCCTGATTTTAAATATGCAATTTCTTTGTTTGAATACTACGTATATACCTGTCTGGAATAGCTGCTATAACATTACAATCTTCCTTAATATAAAGATACTTTTCTATATCTGATTTGACCTTTGTTGTTACTTTTGCCGTAAGTGACAAATTTTAATAAACGACATTTGCCATTTGCAACAGGACATCCCGAATAAAACAACAAACTCGGGCGATATTCCCATTGTTATTAATCAGAATGTAATTTTAACAAAATAAAATGTATGATGTGTTATGTAGAAAATAGAGACATTTGATTCAAAACAGATATTTTTACCATGTCAGTTTAAGAAAAATCTATTCCGAAATGCTTGAGATATCAAATTTACAGATAACAATAATATGTTAAACTTCGTCGAATTATAGTTCTCGAGATTCAATTTCAATATTATCTTGATTGCCATGAATTTTGTATTTTAATTAATCTATAATATACATATATATGCGTACCATTCCGACACACAAATATATTTATTCCAAGCTAGTGAATGTATGGATTTCATTCCAGTTCATATACAATATATTTTGGAACTGACGCCTAACGTCTTACATTTTTTTAACTGCAGTTTTTACCCATCGACATTGATAAACGCGCACCGCAGAGAGGACTCCAAAATGAGTTGTTACGTAAAGTATTGTTACATTAACGTTCCCTCAAGGAAACTGGATAACAGGATGCTTTATACCGTCAACTATACAATAACTATTAAAACGTTTATTTGTCTACCGTTTGTATGTACACTAGA